TAAAACCTTGGAAGGACACATCATAAAAATCAGAATTATTAAAAATTATCTCAGAGTTATTAAGAGAAATAAATGGCTTGCTACAATCTAAGCATAAAAGCTTGCTGACTGTTAAATTATTAAAAGTTACTTAAGTCTGTGGAAATTTAGATTTCAGCGGAATGCCTAATAAGCTACCGATGCTGGCAATAGAATTCTATCTAAAAGTTGAATCTTTTAAATACCAATTGTCATAGCTACTATTTCTTAGTTAATATGTGTTAATATTTGTTTGAATTATACTTAGCAAGCTGCCATCTAATAAATTTAAGTTTTAATAGTCATTTTAAGTGATGTATTCTGATTGAACATATTGAATAGGTCCTTTCATTTGTTTCAATTTTATTGCATCAATCAATATTATACCTACTATATCAGTAAAATATATTGCTTGAGCTCTATTATAGCTTGAGTCTGGCTCTATCAAGTAATTAGAATCAAAGTTGATTGAATTTATAAATACATATCTAGACCTTTATATATTAATAAGTGATTTAGCTAGATTTGAATCGAAATCAATGCCAGTTATATTTATCTCTTCATTTGTATCCTAGGGCATGTATTCTTGAAGTATGTTTTTAGCAAGAATAGTTGATTTTTAAAAGAATGCATCAGTATTATTGATATATACCTCATTTAATATTTTGAGCTTTTTAACATTTATGATGTTTACTATTCCATTTTATTTTGAAGCAGAATTGTCAATGTAAGTATTTCCATCTAAAGTCAAACTATAGTTTTCAAGTTCAAGGCTATTCAGATTAAGCGAACCATGAATTTCATCAATTGTTTCCTAAAATTAAGTAAGTTCAATAAATCCACTGACATCTTCTTGAATTTAGTAGTTTGTACATTCAAAATATATAGGTCCTCCAGAAATTCCCTAGAATCCAAAATTTTTATTGAAAATATTATTTTTTATCTCATAACCAAGGCAGTTATCTTGCTAAATGTCTAGAGATTATTGATAGACGTCTTTATCTACTAGACCTCGTGCTCTAATATATAGAGCATTACTTTAAATCATACCAAAGTTATTGTTGAATTGGTTTAACTAAATTAGCAATTTGCTATCCTCCCTTCTATGATTTAAGTCAAGATACAAAATCCCTTTTGTGCCTGAATTCAATATGAATTAATTATTTAATATCTCAACTTTGTATTCACCATGATTAACTATAGATACTAATGATCTAATTTGAATAGCAGATTTGTCTCCATATTTTTAATATTAGTCCAATTCTGATTAGTCATTTTGAAGGATTTTCTTTGATAAATCATAGTCAAGATTTACTGCAAGGTTGCTGGTGAAATCTACATTTTGGATTATTACTGGACCTTAAAAATTATCTATGTCTAAGAATTATCCCAGATTTTTCAACTTTAGTTACGGATTTACCCATAATTGAGCTTAACTAAAATTAATCATCTTGCCAAAGTCCTTAACTGTACCTCCAGATATGTTTAAACTAAAGCATGGTATATTCATAGATTGGCCACATAAATTTTAAAAGATATCAGATTCTGGCAGCTTGCTTTTGAGTAGTTCAAAGGAATCTAGCATTTTTTAGAGAATAAAACCTTGCTAAAGATAGTTGTAAACATGATCAAATCTCTTATTTCTAATGACACTCCCGCATGAATTGATATTGATGAAACTAGTATTAATCAGGCTAATGTGTCCACCAAAATCATTTAACTCTATTATAGTGTTGAAATCATAAATAAAGTTCTCAAACCTAACATTCTAAAAACATTAGAGTTAAAGTCGTTCATACCTCTAAAATTAGAACTTAAGGTGAAGCCAAAGATGTTTAACTAGAGATATCAAACTATATTAATGAACCACCAATAGGCAGATGACACTAATCATTTCTATAAAGAATTGTAAAATTACTTTTGAGTTTGAATGAAATTATTAAAACTTACGGCAGTATTTTTAGATAGCAGAAATCAGGTCCACTTACCACGTACTTTCCACTAGAATCGTCCTTTTAAAATCTGCAACAGTTACTAAATAAATCTTCCAAGCAAGCGTATTCATTAGAACTTAAAAGTGTGATATTCAAATTGGTATATCTAGAGTCTATAATTGAATCAATTGCGTCAAATTCTATATTTCTTATCTCTAATCCTCCACCTACTAAGAAAGTGTATTTATCTCTTAGTTTATATAGAACTTTAACTTATGTTTTATCGGTAGTGTCAATTTTGATGGTTGTTGTTTATGAATTTTAATCATAGGCTCTAGGTAGAAGAATGTTGTCATAATATCTTAGCATAGAGTGAGTTTTCCCTGATACAAGTATTATTTTGATGACAGATTTCTCGTATATTGCTCCATACTCATAAGCTTTTGATATTGCACTTTATAGTGAATAAAATGGATCATCAAGAGTCATACCAGTAGTCTCATTAGTTGTATGCCTGCCAAAAATGCTATCAACATAAAGGGTAAACTCAGCTGTTCCTGATTTTTTGAGACATTAACCAGTTGTAACTTAATTTGACGAGGTGAATAAATAAAAACCCTTTTTGCATGATGAGCATTCTGATTTAGTCGCACACTCGAAGCAATTATCATCACAAGCATTGCAAATTGCAGAGTCGATCATGCCTCTGTCATTGAAAGTTACCTATCCATACCTCCCGATACCACAATTTGTTGTGCACGTATTTTTTAGAGGATCAAAAAATCCATCTAAACAAGCTGTAATTTATTCTTATTATGGTAGACCTGTCAATGCATTAACAGAGAAATTGCATCTTATTATAATACTTTCTGTATTTAGTGAATCATTTTCGCATTCTATAAAATATTAAATTTAAGATCCTTTAAATCATATGAATTAATTGAAATACTAGAAAGTTTTAATAATCTTACTAAGGCATTTTTAATTTCCATTATCATCAGTAAATATGCTGTAGCCATAGATGCATGTTTTGCAATTTTACTCACTCGTAACATCTAGACAGACATCAATCTAGGATGCTATATATAGATATTACTACAATTAAATCGTTACATTATAAGCATATATCCTGATAATTTTGAGAAGTTTCATTAAAGATTGATTTCTCAGCCAAATAAAATCCATCTTTACATTTTATACAATTCTATTAATTTTCATAGTCAAATATCAAACAATTCAAATCTGAACTATATAAACTTTCCTGTTAAGGACCTAATTGAAGTTATATAGTTATTGTCTTACTGCATGGATTTTCAGTATTTTCTGTTAGCAATGATTTCTGATTAGTTGGATGGTTGCATTATGTACATTTAGTTATATCATCTTTAGAACATTTTTAGCATTCATATCCTGACTTACATTCTAATATCGTTGTTATTTCAAAAAATACCTTGGCATGTTTTAAATGTACTTTATTGCAGATCTTAATCATTATCAGCAATTACTGCTATCCAATTTTTCTACTAAACTTCTCCTGGGCAAATCTCGCATCCATATTTTTAATTGCAAGATTAGCAATAGGCGCCACACCCTGAATATTTTAATTCTCATAAAGTATATTACATAGACATTCAGAATCTATCACACCATTGATAGTGGATTGGTGAGTGATTTAGCAGTCAAAAGTGCAGAGACTAAAATTTGTGTTGGAGCTTTTCCCTGAGAGAAGATATAATCCATTTAAACAACCTAGGCATTAAACTCTGACTTGACCTTGTTCTGATGTTTCTGATTAACATGAAAGGCAACCAAATATGACATTTTTACATTCTAAAGAAAAGAGTCAATAAATTAGACCATTACTTTCGCAGGTAATTGAAATTGTATTATGAAACTCATCATCTCAACCTGTAATTATCAATAAATTTAATAGTTTACATAATTAGCTTAAGATTCCACATAATATTAGAGTTGAGATGAGTAAACTGATTTAGGAAATTTTTGTTCTTATCATAATTAAATAATTACACAAAGTACAGATAGACTTTAATTTAGTACACTAAATCTAAATTCAAATACGATTATATAGTTCTTTAATTGATGTCTATTTGATACTGATGGGGTTTTGGGGTTTTGGGG